TGTTCAAATATGCACCCAAAACTCAGAGTGTCCACTTTCACTCCTTTAAATCGTGTGTGCAGAATCAATTTGGGAAATAGCTTCGTGACTTTACGTAAATTGCATATGATTTATCAGATTTTGACCAACAAGCTTTGCGATACTTGATTTTACTCCACAATACATCCCTGTGGAACAATAAATATATTTATTGTAATCGAAAATCTTTTGTTTGTACGGTTTTGGATGGAAAAAGGAATTGGGCTGTATCACATTTGGTGGATAATTGTGTTCATTTTTTTACATCATAGTGATTTATGTGCTAAATTGAATCTTCCATGCTCGTTTAGAGAATATAATAATCAAGGTCATTCCAATATCCCTACAAACAATAATTAAACAATTTATATTATATTCAAATTGTATATCAGAATAAGATCACTCGACTGTGTTTTTTGTTTGCTTGTATTTAATAAAAATAATAAGTTTTTTTTTATAACAAAGAATATTACAACTAAACTTGCTTTTTAACTGTTGTTTTTATACTATTATTATTTACATTGTGTCATGTTTTGGTTAACAACAGTTTTTACCTGTTAGTTATTATATCTTTGCAATAAATAAATTATTGATCATGTTTACATAAATACATAAACATGCTGAACGATTGCAAAATACTAATTCAATCTGGATGTTTCCTTCTCACAACTAATTTAGTTTTTCTCAGTGGCTTTGGTGCATTTCTCACTACACTATTTACATTTGCACAACAGGTCATGCATTTCTCTAAACAATTAGTCATTTGTGCACATCCTAGTAGCAGTTTCTCAATCCTTTCAACAAACTAAAAATGCTTCCGGACATGCATCAATTGCGTTCGTTCAACTCTCTGCTGTTTAGAACATTATCATTTGCTTATGTCATGTCAGTCAAAATGTACTTGCTGAGTCAAAAAACGTGTAAATGCTGAATAGTCATTCCATATAAAACTAACAGTCCTCATTTCATTACTTGAGTCATTACATACAAAAATGTTGAACTTGATGTAAAAATCGGTCAAGCAAACTTTATAAAAAAAAAAAAGATTTAACTTCATTTTCCTGAAAATGTCATTAAAATTGAACAATTTGATGAATGATTTACAGACCTGTGTATGTTGCAGGTTCAGGTACAATATGTACTGCAATATTGTTTACAGTTGTGCAGTTTAACCCAAAGGGAGTTTATGTTTGTTGTAAATAAGGGTGCGTTTATTCTTTTGCACAATGCTGTGAATAAATTAGGATTGTAAAGAGCAAATGCAGAGTAAAAATGTGAAACATACATATTCAGTGTCTTGTACTCAGATACCTCACTAAATTCAGTGATGTCCAACTTCACTGTAGTTTTCAAATGGCTGTGCAAATAGTGCTGTCTTGAGCATTTTCAGGAAGTGTCACCAAAATCTGACTTTTTTGCATTGAAAAAATGTCCAGAGTAAACTGTCATAATGAAAACACGACAAAGCCATTTGACTATCTTGTTCATAAACAATGGTGTCAGGACTTTTCATTTTGATGACACTGACACTTTGATTGACATGAATACTTGCTTTTGAGGAACGAACTGTCCATTTTGAGCATGTGATGCGCTTTTGCAGTTTGCACAAATTGTTTTGAGAAATGCAGTAACTGTTGTGCAGAAATGCACTAGTGTTGTGAGAAACGCACCAAAGCGACTGAGAAAAACTGTAACACCAAGGCACTTTTTCTTACTGGGACATTCACTGTCCACAAGTTGTATCAAGTAATTTTGCAGCGACACAACATTGCTCAATGTATGTTATGAATTCATTTCCCTTACTGTATTAATGGCATAAATATAAATACTGTATGTCAGCAAGGTCTCAGACTTATTTCTGTTATTTTGGGGCAAATAATTATTTTTAAAAATGAATACACTTAGTCATTTAATAGTTGAAAATACACCAATAAGGTTTGAGATCTTTATTCTTTGGCTAAAGGAGCCTGCTCAAAGCCAGTAAAATACAAAGCAAGCTTTACTAACACTGGTACACCAACTGAATAATGCTTCATACACATAACAAGAGCTTATTATTCATACAAATTATTATTTTTGTATCAAAACCAGGAGGTAATTACGTTCAATTTGCCTGATATCAATGCTACTTCAACCATCTGCAAAAGACTCAATCGTATTATTGAAAACAGGGCAAACAAAATACTTTCCCTCCTATATTTCACAAATATTGAGGACTTTAGAAATGTATGAAAATACAGAGAATTGGAAAAAAAAAAATCTCATTTAGATGTCTTATCAAATCTTAGTGAGGCTGTAAGGAATCCTGAGTGCTCTGGACAGTTTGTTAGTGTACGACGTTTCGAAAGCAATAATAAATAGCACCACAAAAAGCCTGAGTCAATCAATTGTAACAAATATTGCTGCTGTTTTCTGATTGGGATGTGAAGCTGCAAAATAAAAAACAAAAGTAATAATATTAATAATACACAGTTCCTATGAAGTTGTTGCATAGTATAACAAAAAGTAAACCGATAAGACGTTGCCCTCCCCCGCGATAACAGATTTAAAATGGCTGAAACTAAAACGCCACTTAACCTAAAAGGAAAATCTCAAAACCTGAACTGAAATTGCAAAGGTAGGTACCAACAGCTAAAGTTTAATATTATTATTATTATTAGAAGAAGACCTCCTAAACCTACAGCGCTCTTTCATATGATTTTAAGATATATGTATTTCTAAAAAAAATAATAATAAGGAAACAACGAAAACCTCAGGAGACAAAATGATAAACGTTCAATTCTGGCAATTTTTGTGAACAAAATCTCAGAAAAACACAATGTTTGAAAATATTAATGCAATTCTTTTTTTCCATTTTAACAGCAAGAGTAGAATTAACCATTTTACATTGTTGTTTGCTTTTTTTAATTACAAAATGAACACATTAGGCTGTTTAAAGGAACATTTCACCTATATGAAACCTGTCACAATTGGCTCGCCCTCAATATATCCTAGCTGTCAATATATCCTTTAGTCTTTCAGATGAACATAATCTACGCTACATTAACTAATATCCTGGCTCTTCCTGCCATTATAATGGCAGTGAATGGTGCTCGAGTGTTTAAAGCTCCAGTAAGCATGTCCAAAATGAACACATTAGGCTGTTTAAAGGAATAGGTCACCTAATGAATGAAACCCATCCCAATCTGCTCACCCACAATATATACTAGCTGTACATGCCTTTAGTTCTTCAGATTAACATTAACGTTATATTATTAACTACTATCCTGGCTCTATAATAGCAGTGAATGGTGCTTTTTTTTTTGCATTTTTGTTTTTAAAGAGTTTAAGCATGTCCATTCATCATAAAAGTGAACTATTTAGTACAAGTGGAATAATCAATTGCTTAAAAATATCAATACCTTAATCCATTTCATGTTAGGCTTGTCAGAAGTATCGACTTTGGTACCAATCACTACTAAAATTTTAAAAACGTCCCGTTAACATTCTCACTGCTGATTGGCCATTGTGTTACCATGCTTAAGATACAGATATAAACACAGATAAACAAAGACTGGAGCGTTTCAAAAGCCACGTCTATCAGCTGATCCATCATATGAGCGATGCGCTGAGGGGTCGACTGTTCGATGTGTATCTGTGTTTGCGCCAGGTGAAGAGTGGTAAACCGATGGTCTTCTTAGCCAATCACAGTCATATCTGTTACATAAACACAACGGCCAATCAGTGGTACTGAAGTACATGCTCATGTAAGCGGGAAATAAACAAAAAGAAAACGTTTTAGAAAAATGTTTTAACATTGAAACGTGAACATTTTTCGTTAAAATTCTTTAACTCTGCTCATTGGCCATCATGTTGCTCAACAGATACAGATATGATCACAGACACAAAGCGTTTCAGAAGCCTTAGGGGATATGTCATATGAGCGATCTGCTTAATGAACGACTGTTTCACTTGGCTACGAAACGCTCCAGTGTCCGCGTATTTGTGTTTGCGCTAGGTTAGTGGTGTCCAAACACGTTCCTGGAGGGCCGGTGTCCTGCATATTTTAGTTCCAACCCCAATTAAACACATCTGAACCAGCTAATCGAGCTCTTTCTATGTATACTAGATTTTTTTTACTAGATAGAAAGTTGGAGCTAAACTTCGCAGCACACCGGCCCTCCAGGACCGAGTTTTCACACCCCTGCGCTAGGTGAACAGTGGGGAAGAGTGGTAAATCTTATTGGATGATCACAGTCATATCTATTGCGCACATGAACACAACAACCAATCAGCAGTATTTAAGAACACGCTATAATGTTGGCGGAAAACTGACATTTAAAAAATTACCAATTACCGTTTGGTATCGAAATCGATACCTTTGACAACCCTACTACATACGAGACTCATATTATGACATAATGGACAATAAAATAAGAATCGACATACTGTGTTGGAGTTGTTTTCTGTACTCGGGCTGCATAAGTATCAGTGTTAAAATGGTGAGTGAACATTAACGTATTCATTTCTTCTATTGCACTAATGCCAAATCATTCTAGTTCGCTTCTGCAATATAGGTTAAATGTTCAAACTCAGCTCAGATTTTTATTATAAATCATTTGCTTTGCTTCTTTAGGCATTCATTAACTCACTGAAGTCTTCCGGACTACTTTAATGACGGATGAATGCGCTTTTCGGAGCTTCAAAAACTCAAGCACTATTCGCTTCCATTAAATCTGGGAAGAGCCAGGATATCGGAGTTCATCTGAAAGAAAAGCTTACATAAGACGGCAAGTAAATTACGAATCAACTTTCATTTCTGGATGAACGACTCCTCTAAACTGAGATGAGTCAATACTGGATGTACAGGACGAGAGTGTATGTGCAATCAATTGAAATGTAAATAAAAAAAAGTGCCCTATTGACAATAGTGCTCTCTCTCCACTTTCGCAATTCGAGCTATGAGAAAAAAATTGAATAAGACAAAAGCAAAATCCTCAGTCTCCAGCAGCATATATATATAGTATCCGTTTCACATCCCCTTAAGGCACCTGCACATCATAAACAACGACAACAGAAAAAGCAAGGATTCAGGTTTTTTTCACATACTGTAGTAGCAAACTGACAACGTTTTCAACCTGAAACTACAGCCACCTTAGTCCACATGAAGGCAGTCCATTCGAGTTTCCACATAGACAAAACTCCAAAAGTCTCATCGCTTCATGTCTATCGTAGTCCTGAGGGCCATAAATATCTCAGTCATCCACGTACATTCAGTCTCAATCACGACTCTCCTCTTTAAACAGTCTTAAAACACACCCGGTATGGAGCTCAGGAGGCAGTGACGCCCTCCCATTCCACCAAGTACTCTACTTTGCCGTCGTTTGTGATGCGGCGAGCGAGGACACGGTACTTCTCTCCGCAGGCCAGGCGACCGGCGGCTCCGAAGTAAGTGCTGATGGAGCTCTTGAGGTGGTTGAGCTGGGTGTTGGGGTCCAGGCCCTGCATGATGTCCATGCTGCTGTACAGGCAGGAGGGAAGAGCGCTGGGTTCCGGGATGATGTTGTTGGTGGTGGGTTGTGGTTCTGTGTTGCTGGCTGGAGGAATCTCTGGATTTGGGGGCTGCAGTGCTCGTCGTGGACGTCCTCGGCGCCTCTTAATTGGGGGCTGTGTGATGGTGGGCCAAAAACATCCAGTGCGTGGTCCACTCGGACTGCCCAAACTGCAGGGGAATGGAGTAAACAGGTTAAATCATCAGAATGGGAATTTAGTAAGGAATGAAATGGGCATTAAGTTGAAACACCCTCTAAACAACAGCAGGGAAGATGTGCGCCAGTCACTGAATCCAGCATACGGGTTCTCAACTGTCCTCCACAGTCTAAGGGCCTACTCACACTATGCTATCCGAACCTTGCCCAGGCCCGTTTCTCGGATCATTTGAGAAGTGTGAGTGCTTTGAATCGGGCTCAGGCACAGTTTGCTTGGCCGGCCCTGACCCGGTTGGAAGAGGTGTGCAGAGCGCAGATCACTTGGGCTTTGGCGCGGCACGCTTATAGTGTGAGTGCAAAGCGCGCCTAAGCCCGAAACTGAAGATGAGATGTGACTTTTACAGGACTGTTTCCTATGGATTTATTAATCATTCTTACCGTTCAATAAACACAAACTGTCGTAGATTATTAAGGACGCAAACCCCTCACTGCACGGCAGCTGCACCTTCAGCAAATCTCCTAATTCCTGCACCACGAAGACTTTATGATTGTTTATGATTATCTCTACTGAACAGCGCACCATCGATGACGTAAGATTGCCCAGGCCCGAATGTAATGTGAGTGCAGGCCGTCGGGGAGACAAGGTTCGAGGCAACTGTACATGGGCCCGATCCCAATATTACCCCTTAGCCCTTCCCCTCATTTTGCGAATGCTCGTGAAGGGGTAGTGGTGTCCCAATTCTCTTTTAGCTTAAAGACATAGGGCTTAGGGCAAGGGGTATACACCCCTTCAAACAAAAATTTTTCAGGACCACACTCGAAACCAAAGGGTAAGAAAAATTTTCCAGAATGCACCAGCCACAGCTGCATCCGGAAATAAGGAGATCCACAAATTAGTATTTTTTGTCATGATAACAAATTTTTACAACAAACAAACACGTTTGAATATATTCATAACCGTGTTCGTGTTATATCATCATGCTTTAAAATAAAAAAAACCTAAAATAAAAAATATTAAATTGCGTGATCTATAATCCCTAATAATAACTCCTGTATAGCAGTCCCACAACATTCTGACACTCGAAAACCCTGTCAGAAAAGTCTAGTGGTAGAGAATAAGCTTCTTACAGTGTCTGCTACAATGTTAATGTTGTTTTGGTGTGTTTACATAGATGAATATGCCCACTTTGTAAATACACAGTACAGTTACAATCCTATTTCCATATTAGATCGTTATGATAACATGATATAAGCCAGTGGTCACCAAACTTTTTCCTGGAGGGCCGGTTTCCTGCACATTTTAGCTCCAACCCTAATAAAACACACCTGAACACGCTAATCAAGGTCTTACTAGGTATACTTGAAACATCCAGGCAGGTGTGTTGAGGCAAGTTGGAGCTAAACCCTGCAGGGATACCGGCCCTTCAGGACCGAGATTGGTGACCCCTAATATAAGCCTTCAGTGATTTCCTGAGGATAAATACCAAAAAAATAACACAACTGGAATTACTACAGCAGTCGCAATCGTATGATCTCATATGAAGCAAGAGATCGCGATGACATATTTTGACATGTGCAGGTGCTGTAGTGCTGTCCCAATTCTTAGGGGTAAATTTTGAAGCCCTTTCCCTTCACACTTGGTTGTAAGGGCCAAGGGGAAGGGGTAGAGGTACAAAAATAGAATTGGGAATCTGGCATAGTGTGAGTACGCCCTTATATTATCCACTGTGCTTGTCATAACACTATCTGTGGCTGAAGTGACCACATTTTGTGTTTTATCTTTCGCTTGTTCGGTGGCCCTGAACTGTCAAAACTGTCAAATGTCCAAATCTTTTTGACAAAAGTTTTGGTGGCAGTGTGTTAAAATGAGTCTCACATTGTGAGGTTGAATTTATTTTTAAACATGCTAAAACTATGAATGAAAATTACAGATTCAGTTTGCAATAACTTTACTTGTCAAGAAAATGTGAAACTTAAATAACCATGATTAAATGAAGAATAAATCACCTGGACTGCCTTGAGAGGGTGGTTGAGGTAGTTTCACTGGTGCTGGTGGCTCCAACCGATTCAACATCTGAGGTACTTGATGAAGGCAAAAATGTTTCACTTTTGGCACTACAATATGCAGAGGGTGACAAAAAACACAAACAAATCACAATTATAATTGGCTCTCACTTCAAAAAGCACAATATGCATGTTGTGTTGATCTCCCTCACCTTTTTGAGGCCATCAGGTCTAGTGAGTTATTATCTATAGTTGGAAACTTTTCATCATTCTACAGAATAAAATGATTTAAATAAAAATATTGTCCACATTTTTTGTAATTTGTTATAAATCATTTGTATGCATTTACAGTGCTTAAAACAAAAAAATAAATAAATGTGAATTATCTTTAAAAATAATAATAAAAACAAAATCCCTTGTACCTGTGCCAGAAGTTCACTTGACCTTCTCAATTTGGCCAACGTCTCTAAAGAGTGTGTGTGGTACTTCCTCTTTCCTTTCTTCACTGCTCCGTTAGTAACAGGCCTAAAAGCAATTACAAAATAATGCTAAAAAAAATCCCATTTAATACATTTTATCTTAAAATATCATTGAGGAATTATTTCATGTTCTTTAATATTTAATAATAAAACTAAACTGTATAAACTCAGGAGGAAATAAAGAATGACTAACATGGATGAAAGAGGGGGTTTGGTGGCCTTCCTGCCTTTGATTTTGATCTCGTGGGAGGCTTTTTCCGGCTCTCGGTCAGACAGGAGCTCGGAGCTCTGAGGGGCTGGTGGGAAGCGGATTCGTAAGCCAAATAGGTGTTTCTTCTTCTTGATCTCTTTACCTGACATGAACCTAGGAGCCACAAGATCGACAAGATGAAGATAAATTCATTCAAGCTCTACTGTGTCGAGCTAAAATCTCCCAAGATGGATAAAGCAGAAAAACTCACATGTCGAGGTTGTTGTTAAGTGCTTCCAGAATGCATTCATATCGTTCTGCTCTCGGAGTCTCTGCAAGCTACAAAAAAAAAAGTTAAAGTGACCCTTGTGTGCTGTTGGGGATGTTTTCTTCCACTTTGGGGTGATTGAGTCTTTATTTGACCACAACCTACTCTGTGTTTCAGGAAACGGAATGATTTTCTGTGACAAATCTTATTTTGGGGAAATGCTTTAAATGTTAAATCAAATTCTACAATAGACTCATTTACATAACTTTCGTTATGTTGGTGGCCTGTTTTGCATCGCTTTCCATTAAATGACATTTTTTGAATGCATAACCCTGACACCAAATAATCATGGATTCTTGATTGTTGCTGGTTTTCCCTGTTAAGAAGAGGTCAAATTTTTATTTTACTGTTGATCATCAGTTGCATTGCAAAAAGGCTTTAGCCTTCTATATGTAGTGTGTTTGTTTGTTTGTGTGTATGTGTGTCAATAATAAAATCAAAATAAGCAGCTCAGCTGTCAGGACAAAGTAAACAATGTAAATGTATTTATGCACAAACACTATAATCTGCTGTTTTACTCTATAGAACTGCATATAAATGCCAAAAACTTTTTTGCACAGGCCTATCTAAGGCTGCATTTACACTGCAGATCTTGATGGTCAATTCCAATTTTGTGACTGTATCAGATTTTTTTGATGACCTGTTACATCATCTTTTAAAAGTGACTTGTATCCGATCGTCTGCATTTACACAGCACACGGCAAAGGCTCAACGACCAGGCGCTGACTAACAGCTGATAATTAAAGAGCCTTTTTTTCTCCATTCCTGTACGTAATCTGTTTGCAGCTTTTGACAAGCTGTTTTACTATAGTTAATGACCGAAAAATTCTCATATGTCCATCTTCTTTTGATATATAGGCTTTTTTAAACCTTTATGCATCTTAATTTAATGTCCATGGCGTGATTTATGCATGTGATGTGTGCACTAAGCTAGTTTTATATTTATTTTATATTGGTTACATGGCGGACACTGCGCTCTCTTGCTCTCGTAAACATGCTTAAATACCTGAGCTATATTACAGTATGAAAGCTGTTTAAGTCCTCGTGTATGAGATTTAAGGTTTGGGACTCTGCTGAAGTCTGTTCTGAAAAGAAAGTGTCAAACTTGACGACATTCGCTATGGTTTTTAAATGACGCGCGACTCGCATTGACAGGTGAAAACCCGATCTACCTGCTTACACTGCAGACACGAGAACACGTACACATTTCCACATATGAAAAAGGCCTAAATCTGATTTGAGTAAATCGGCATCCATGTGATTTGTTCCTGCTTACACCTACACGGGCCATATCCGATCTGTGCCACATGGGAGAAAAAAATATATAAAAATTTGGAATTGAGTCACTTGAACAGTGCAGTATAAATGCAGCCTAAAGGGTTAATGCTGCTAACTGATGATCTACATTATATATATATATATATATATATATATATATATATATATATATATATATATATTTTTTTTATTATTTATTTATTTTTTTTTTCTCACAAATTTGATCTCTTCCCAACAGAGAAAACCACCAACAATCAAAAATGTGTGATTAAACAGTGTTGTCATTGCTTTGCAATCAAAAAAAAAGTCATTATAATGAAAGTCAACGGGGCAAAAGCAGCCATAACGAAAGGGTAGTAAATTTGAACAGTATACAAGGGTTAACTCTTGTTGATTACTGCAAATTACAAAAAGAAAAAAATATATAAATACAAACTGATACCTCGCCAAGCTGAAGCCGGTCCCAGTTTTCATTGATGTAAGTCATCAGTTCAAGCTCAGAGTCAAAATATTTCTTTTTATGAATGACGCTCAGGTTATAGAGGCTCAGGTGTGCAACGTCTACCCTGTGAATGAAGACAACATGCATGAGTCCTCTTTGAATCTGAACATAACAAATCATTAAAAGACAGAACCAAATTCTGATCTATACCAATAAAATACGGCCAATAATAGTATACGGTAACCCATTTTTAAATGATATACTATATTATCAAATTAAATGAAAAACGATAACTGCCTAATTTTATATAGTTATCATGTAATAAAAGGTTTTGTAAATGATATAAACCAAAAAATCATTTAAAGGTCACATAAAGTGCTTTGAAATGTGCCTTTTTATTTAATGTTTGCCGCAATCTCAACTGAAAAATGAACAGGGTGGGACAGGTGGGGCATCAAATGCGGGGGCCCCCTCAAGAAATAGTTTATTTTAGTATTAAAAAATCTTTAAAATTCAAGTGAAGTAAAACATTATATTGTAGAGTAGAAAAAACAAAAGCCAAAAGACAATAGGGTATATGCAGAGCTAGTGCTTCTTCCCATACTGGGACACTTTTGGTGAACGGTTAATGTAACTTTTTTTTCCCTATTTTATACGGTTCCCATCGATGTTGTAATGTAATTAAAATATAATCAGTTAAATAGACTTTGGCATTCATTTGCTCAAGCGTAAAACAAGATAAAAATCTGTTTACACGCACACGCCCGTCAGAATTAGCTGGCTAGCGCAGAAGCTCCATTGAATACACTCAGGAAATGTAAATTAACGCAGTCATTCATTAATTTTCTTGTCGGCTTACTCCCTTTATTAATCCAGGGTCGCCACAGCGGAATGAACCACCAACTTATCCAGCACATTTTCACGCAACTTCCAGCTGCAACCCATCTCTGGGAAACATCCACACACAAATTGACACGCACACATTCATACACTACGGGCAATTTAGCTTACCCAAGTCACCTGTACCGCATGTCTTTGGACTGTGGGGGAAACTGGAGCGAACTTTAAATTTAATGCAGTGCTTCTTGTAAAATCTGAGACCCTCTTTATATCAGATATCACTCAGTCAGTGGAGCTTGCTGATTTTAAAGAAAACGGACCTTAAACGCACCACTTTTGTAATGTCATACAGTTCATCGGAAGCGCTTGACAAATTAAAAGTCCTTCAACATATACCATACAAAGACTTGTATTGACACAAATTTCATGATTCATGTTGCAATTGAAAAGCTTTTTGGTTAACTTTAATTCGATCCTGATCTTTATGTTGACTAATATAGATCTTTTTCATGTACAGTACATAATTAAAAAACACTAAGAAACTAATTTGTAAACAACATTTTACAGCAGGAGTGTCAAACTCAGTTCCTAGAGCGCCACAGCCCTACACAGTTTAGTTCCAACACTGCTTCAACACACTTACATTTAGGTTTAAAACAAGCCTGAAGCACTCAATTAGTTTGATCAGGTGTGTTTAATTAGGGTTGAAGCTAAACAGTGCAGAGTTGTGGTCCTCCAGGAACTGAGTTTGACACCTATAAAATAAACAAAATAAACAACTAATTTGTATAAGTTTTAAATCTTGAAACATTTTTTTAAAGAAAGTTTTAAGAGAGCATAAGGATAATTAAAATATAAAAACAGAGGAAGAAAGAAATTAAATATCCCACACTGAAATATTCCAACAGTTCAATATGATCATATAAATATATAATAAAACAAAGACACCGTTATTATGCAATCGTTGTGCATTCACTTCTAAACATCAATACGCTTATTTCATGCGACTGCCATTTTAAAGAACCAAAGCGAGGCTATGGTGGGAAGAAACCCGGAAGTATAAGACCAGCACTGTAATCATTGCAGTAATATGCTGTGGACTACAAATCTCCAGCTGTTACCGAGATTTCAAAATGCAGAAACGATGTAAACACCACTTTAATATCATTCAGTTAGTTTAATTTAAACAATTAAAAGCCATTTAGCATCAAACAACATCACAATCTCTTTAAGAGTAATATGCTCAAGTGTCCTCCAAGGCTTCATTTCATAGCACTTGTTTAAACGCCATGGGGACGATTTCCTGCTTTAGCCCATGTAACCCGGTGAGCGATAAAACACTGCAGTCCTCTGTAGCACACCCTCGTGTTGTCCTGGTACTGAAGTTTTTAAAACGCTAACATTCAAGCGCTGCTGAGCACAACCATAAACAGCGCTGATTTAGGAATATTCAGTTTACCGCTTTTCACCCAGTGCAAACACAGATACACAGACACTAGAGCGCGAAGCAGCCGTGAAGATCAGTTGAGTCAAGCAGATCGCAATTCTATGTTTGTACTCAGTTAACAGCGGAGGGTGGAAATGATGACCTTCTCGGCTAATCACATTTATTTCTGTTGAGCACGTCAACAATAGCAAATCAGCGCTGTTTTAAGAAAGCCATCAACAGTGCCTTAAATGTTAATGAGAAATTGACAGTTTTTCTTTTAATTCAGTATCGTGACAAGTCCAATATAGTGAAAGAATCAGTTCATTATCTTGAGTTTGATAAATAGCATCTAAAACGTGTGTTTGGGAAAGAAAACGTTAGCTAACTAGTGCCATTTCCCTTAACTTAGCTGAAAAAGAGCTCTGATGTCCCTTTTTATTTTCACCATTCATTCAGAACGGACCTTCGGGTCACTGGGAAGGCGGTGAAATTATAAATTTGTGTCACTTTCTCTTCGCTGATAAGATATACAGCCAGCTACACAATGTTCCTATGTATCTCCTAACGATACTTCCGGGTTTCTTCCCACTGCAGCCTCGATTTTGCTTTTAAAAATGGCGGCCGCGTTAAATCCTATGGCATTATCTGCGTGCAGGGGATGTGTACGGCCTGGTATGGCGATCACTTGATGCATATGTTAATTAATCACTCCGCAGCTATTAAACCAACTCACCATCTCAGAGGGAGGCGTTTGAGGTACTCTGGTCCACTATTACAAACTGAACAAATAAATAGATAGAACCTGAAAATAAAGACAGAAGCCGGTTATACTTATTACCAATCAATGGGCTTTAGTTTATTCAGATGATAAGGGAGCAGTACTTCACCTGTCTCCAAAGAGCATTGGCTTCTGAAAACACTGGATACAAGCTTCATGAAACCACTGTTTACACTTATTACACTGTAACATCTTCAGATACCAGCTGTGGGAAAGAGAAAGAGCCATTGGAATTGTACTTCATAGCAGTTAATCAGTAGCTGTAATCTGTGGTTAAAGGATTAGTTCACTTACAGAATAAAAAATATATTTATCCTGATAATTAAATCGTCGCATTGTCAAGCTAGACGTTCAGTTAGATTTTTCTCCATATAGTAGACTTCTATGGTGCTCAGTGGTTTACCCTTCCAATGTGCTGTTTTAATGCCAATAAAATGGATTTAACTAGCGACAATCTGAAACAAAAACATTTATATGCATTTTTAACCACAAAAGCTTGCATCCCAGAGCTACTGCAAGACAAGCTTATGTGATCAAAAAGTTTATACATTGTTATTTTGTAATAAAATTATTTAACGTTTCACTAGGTAAGACCGTTATTGCTCAGCTGGGATTGTGTAAAGCTATTTGAAGCTGCATTGAAACTACAACATAGAACTTCAAACAATTGAAGTCCACTATATAGAAAAAATTTGAAATATTTAAAGGTCCTGTGAAATTAAAATAATGTTATTTAGATGTTAGTATCAGTATTGTTAGTTTTTAAGATATCTATAAACTAGTGTGCTCCAAAACAGTGACTATATATATATATATATATATATATATATATATATATGCGCCTGAAATTTAAGCTATGCGACCTCATAATATATATTGGGAGCATTCGTGCGACTGCATATAATGGTTGTAGTGCGACCTGTTTTGGTTTTTTTCTAAAAACGTGGTAAAAAAAAAAAAATCGGTCTTCCCTGCCGCTATATTGGTTCATATTAGCTGTCAATCACTCAAGACTTTCCGCTGTCAGATGACAGGGAGGGAGCTTTTGTGACCGCGGAGAATGCAAACGGCTGAAGAGTGAAAAGTACACTGAATCTCGATGCGTTGCATGCACTGCGTGTTCAGCCAACACAATCTCATGGCAATTCATAAAATTTTCATACGTTTTCTCATGAGATCAGGCGTCAACTGCGCAAATATCCGCTAAAACACCATTGCCAAAGAAGCTTGCCTTTACTGAGTTTAAACTGATGCGGGTTATAACAAAGAACAGTATTGTGCCGGTGGTCATCGGGAGAATCCTGCTCTGCCCCCCTCATATATTGGGCCGGCTGACTCGCATGCTTTTCCGCAAACACAGAAAAATGTAATTCAGCGCGTAATGACGCTGAGCATTAAAACGACACGAACCGAAACCAAAACTTTTAAAAGTAAGACTTTTCTTCCTTTCTTTTGTCTGTTCTTTCTTGAGATGTATATTATTTTTCTATTTAATTACTGATGACTGCTTTGCAGCTTTCAGCATTGAATTGAATGACTTATTATATTATTCAGTTTGTTTTGTAGCAGATATATTATTTATAAAATTGCCATGCATATAAAAACAATATTACAAAATAAATATTTCTTACTACAATGCTTCATTTCTGTTTGATGCAAACCATCAATTTATTTTTCATTAAGTAACAGTAGGACTTTATATAGCAGATAACTTACATTAAAGCACATTCAAGGCAGCATGATGATAAGAAATATAATTCATAATTAGTATTATTGTCATCATCGTCATCATTAATATTTTATAATTATTCTACATTCATTTTGGAATTATTGCACAAATATTAAGTAATCTCAGCATTAGTTAGATAGTTGTTTCTGGGTTTTGTTAGTCCCAACTGATGTTGTTTTCAAATACAATAAATCCCTTAATATACAACTTGTCAAATATATCAATTCATTTTTGGTGGGTGCTCCTAAATTTTTTTCTGGTGCTCCTAAATTTTTTCTGGTGCTTTTAAATATTTTCTGGTGCTCCTAAATATTTCAGATTGGGAGCACCGGTGCTACCAAGTAAGAAAGTTAATTTCGAGCCCTGCTCTAGTATCTGACATGCTCCCCTCTTTCACGACACTTCTCATTTGCTCTTAATTTGATGCACTTGATCTCAAACACTCTCACTAGCTGAGCAGTGATAACAAAACGCTATTTGCAGTTTTTTTAAAGGAGAGGGGCTACACTATGCCCCACCCTCTTTTTGTTATGGTTAAGATTACGTCAAACATCGATTAGAAATGAACATTTCAAAGCACTTCACAGGTCCTTTTAATCAAAATGCTGAGAAAACATAAACATGGGGGTGAGTCAAGTAGGACATTTATAGGTTGGGCTTACATGACGACAACATAAAATAACAATCCAAAATAAGATTCACATACAGTTGAAGTAAGAATAATTAGCCCCCCTTTGAATAATTTTTTCTTTTTTAAATATTTCCCAAATGATGTTTAACAGAGCAAGGAAATTTTCACAGTATGTCTGATAATGTTTTTTTTCTTTTGGAAAAAGTCTTATTTGTTTTATTTTGGCTAAAATAAAAGCAGTTTTAAATTTTTTTAAAAACATTTTAAGGTAAAATTTTTATTAAAACATTTTTATTTAAAATAATTAGCCCCTTTAAGCTATTTTTTTTTGATAGTTTACAGAACAAACTATCATTATACAATAACTTGCCTAAATACCCTAACCTGCCTAGTTGACCTAATTAACTTACTTAAGCCTTTAAATGTCACTTTAAGCTGTATTGAAAAAATATCTTGAAAATATCTAGTAAAATATTATTTATTGTCATCAGGCTAAAGATAAAATAAATCAGTTATTAGAAATTTAGAAATGATCTTTAGAAATATGTTGAAAAAAATCTTTTCGCCGTTAAACAGAAATTGGGGGAAAAAATTAACAGGGACGCTAATAATTCAGGGGGGCTAATAATTCTGACTTCAACTGTATACATGAAATTTTAAAAACAATTCACTTTTTAGGGATGCTCATTTCCTGTTATTTTGCTAACCGACAACCACCGCTCGTTAATCGGATATTAACAGTTAACTGGTCAGATTTATTTTAAATAATTATTATAGAATTTACTAATAAAAGTAATAAACTAAATAAAAGAATAAAATAAATTTGCCTGCCCTAAAATGTTGTTGTAAATGACACATTTAGATTACAAAACAAAAACACTGACTGAGCCTTTTTAAGAACGGGATTAGGCTGTTTTTTTTTTTTTTTCAATCATGTTTTTTGTCTTCAGTCAAAAAAAAAAAAAAAAAAAAAAAAAAAAAAAAAAAGAGCAGGTTACCTCAAATCAATCCCTCCACGGAAAATATGCATTTATTTAATGCTCCGCTGTTATTATTACTACATCACAAAACCTATTTTTATTCTTTATTTTTTATAGAATTCGTTAGTTTAAAAATTATGCTGTGAGCATCTGGTTTTATGCTTTTGTGCATTTTCCTCTCTCATTTGCAGTTTAAATGCGTGCTGCATGTGATGAAAAGACAATAACAACGCGCACATATGTTGACTTTTCGTAAACAGTTTTGTTTAAATATTTCGCATCCATTAGCATACATGCTTTATAAGCTGTAAAATGAAAGCTAACGCCTATTTGTTGTGTTTATGATGCAGATCCAGGAGGCTATCAGCATCAGCGTTGGTTTGGCAACTTGTCTGTATCTAACAGCAATATTCTTTTTCAATTTTGCTACTTTGGCAAATATGTCTGTAGGCATGTCATTGGTTATGATTTGAAGAAAATCTGAAGTATGAGGTTATGTCAATAAAATAGTTACAAGCTCTACATGTTTATATTAGTTTCATATCTTCTAAATGCGAATTTTGTCAGCTTTTGTGCGCACTAGATCATAGATATTTCACAAACTAACAACACGGACACCAACATCTACATTTTTTTTACATTTCATGGAACCTTCAATTGGTTATTTACATGGAAACAATTAGGGGTGTAACGGATCATGGTTGATCGGTGATCTCAACCCTTTGTTTGCAATACATGTGACCTGCAAATACTTTTGTACTGGTAGATTAATCCTATATGTTATGATCGCAAGCAGATCGCTTCTCGCGTCATTCAAATCACATGTATGAAAGCATTTAGGCTTTCCTGTAAAATATAATGATGACGGAAGAAGTTGTGGTGGGTTATTCGGGATGTGGTGGGTTTCTTAGATTATTAAATGTTTTCTGTCACTACTTGTTCTGCCTGCATTAATGCATTCAGTGTAAGTTACACGATTAATCAGTAAAAGACATTGTTTCTGCTACATTCATTCTTCCATCCGCTTGTTAAGTGGTGACGTGTTTGTGACGCATGTAATACTGTTTCCAGGTCCAAGCCGACATTCATTTGAGTGGAGAAATCGTTTGTTTATGATCACGGTTTATTCCTATCACACATTAAAGTTAATCTTATATAAAATCATAGTGTACACAACAATCTCTGGGCTTGCTGCATAACAAATACCAAAAATTTAACAATTTGTAAAAAAAATTTATTACTTTCTGGCCATCGGATATTACACATGGACATATATACTGCGATCGTGATTTTCGAAAGCATTAAACCGCTTTGTAAACGTTTATCATTACCATTTCATGATTCTCCCCATTCAGTTGAATAGAGCGCTTGGACCCGGAAGCCACTTCGCGTGACGTCACACTTAACAAGCGGATGGCGGGGCGCCACGCCAACATTGATACTACCACGGCTACATTACAGCTTCTTATTCAAAACATTGCCTTGTTCTTTTAATAGCGGGTGATAATCTCACCAAAATGTATTAAAAGGTAAGTGAATTATAACAGAGCAAACTTTTCTGTAACCGTTGTAGTGCTGTGCGCTGTTTGTTTATCTCTTAAGGTTACGTGCCGACTGACTGACAGGTGCGTGATGCGTGAGGCCAGCAAACACGACGTGTAGCCGTTTCACTTTACTTCAGGACGTATTAATGTTGCTCTGTAGGTCTATTTGAGACATTCAAAAATATTCCTAACAAATCTAATAAATGTTAGAGATATACTTGTTACAAAAACGCACTAAATCGCACTTCAGCAGTGTTTATTTGAGAGCGCGCAAGAAGTTTTGTGCACAAGCTTAGGAAATCGGCGCGCAAGCAAAGAGATTCGCATGCTGTAGGCTATTACATAATTGCAATCTCGACTTCTATTACTGTGCTCACGACATTTGTCATTGAAATAACATACAGGTAGTTGGTAGATCTGTGTAAAAAAAGGCCTGCCGCCACAGCTGGAAAAAATCCTAGAGGAAACACTGAAAGATCGGGATCTCAACACCTACGCATCATAATTTATAAATGATAGTGATTTGGATATGTTTATTAATCTTTCGAAGCGCTGCATTAAAATCTGTTTGAAAAACACAAAAATCAGTAACAATAACACAGAAGTACTGGGATAAAGGTTTATAGTTTAGATAAAACCACTGATGTTTATGGTGAAGGTTAAAATCACCACCATATGCATTTAACTTGACGCTAAAAAATTAAAGTTGTAGGCTGCAGCTACAGTTACAACCAGCAATCAAGAATATGCCACTGAATAATTCTTCAAAAATGACACATTTAACAATAAAAGATTAAGGTTTTATGAGTGAAAAACTGAATCATTTAGTGAATTTTTAACAGTACTGAATATTTTACAATTTATTTTTATTCTGTTGATTATTTCCTAATTTTATTATTAATAATATTACAGGTTTTAAGTTTTGTTTGTTAAAACCAAAAGTGTCTTGCAGTACTGTTTTTGTAATAAATGGAAAGCAAATTACATTTGTCTCCTCCCGTTTTTGACTGATTTGAAAAATGGCCCGATCTGTGAACAATATGTCATCAGAACAGTGAGATTTGTGAGACGTTACACCACTAGAAACAATAAAAAAATGCAGTGACAAAAAATAAATAAATAAATAAAAATAAAAAAACTTTATTGAAGTGTTTCCAGTCTCCAAAATGCTTTTGCTGAGTAAATAAACAGGCGAAATGCATTAAAAGTTTCCCTAATTTGGGGTTAAAATGTCGTCATGTAAACAGTTACTTATTCTTAAAGTGAACTAATCCTTCAAATACCTGCTCTATAAAATGTTTATTCTGAGAAAAACTATATCAGCAGTTTTCAGAGATGAATATCGTAACGCTTACTCTCCAGGTCCACCGCAGTAGCAGTAGCATTGCTGGATGTTGGTCTTGTGGCCCTGGTCCCACATTAATTCTTCAAGGGCGTATGGTAGAGACTGCTTCATTTCCTGTAGGGCTTTGGCGTTTGGCCCCTTCTTTAGTGCACCGCCTCTCTACGATTTCAGAGACACAACCACAACAAGTCGTGATAGATAAACAAGCCTCTGGCCTGCATGTGGAGTCATATCATTCTAAGGTGGAGTCAGAACTCTGAAGATTTATTCAAAACAGGCTTTACATATCTCTTCTAGTCATACAAGCAAAACACGAAGAGAGTCAAGGGATTTCAAAGGGTTGGCTGCATTTTACACCACTGTTGAAATGTTTGGGGTTAGAAAGGTATTTTTAAATCATTTCTAACTTTATTAGACAATGATGCATTAATATATGGAAGGACATTTTCAAATTGATCAAATTCAAAAAGATCAAACATTTTAAGTTACTTAAAAATATATATAAAATAAATATATTTTTAATGTAAAAGTTAAATATGCAAATTTCTAACAGAAACTGTCTTTCATTTATTTAGAAAGTAGTAGTCGTCCAACCAATGTCGTTTGATTAACCGGTTTTAATGTGGATTCAGTTGGCGCTTTGTGGCTCGGCAGAAACGTAAACAGTCATGAGTCGTGGCTGGGCGCCGCTTCTGGTGTGATCTGCTTTACTTTCTTGTCGCAGCACCAGAAATTCATATGCTGATTTGGTCCGGTGCATACCGGTTCCAAAGGTACCGGTTTCGGTACCCAACCCTATATCTGATAACTACTTATTTTAAAATTGACAGTAAATATACATTGTCAAAAAACAAAGTTAAAACTACAAATCTAAATCTATACGAGTGGTTCAAACTTGAGGATTGCAACTGAAAAATTAACATTCTGCAAGATTTAGTTATTTTGCAGTCCCAGCAAGCATGTCCACACCAGTTAGAAATGACTCGGAGGTCTGCTACAGATCTTTTAATATTTATTACTAGTTATTCTGCAAGGCGGAGAGAATGCAACATCAACAAACCTTTGTTGTTGTGGCAAACACGCACTGTCTGCAGAGCCATTTGTCATCAGAGTCAATGACACTGGAGTCAATTACAGGAGCATGGCAAAGCTGATGGTATCCTGTGGAAAAACAAAAATCATATTTAAACCAATCCCTAATGTGGTTGAGAAAAGTGACTCAAATTTACAAGTAGGATAGAGTCTACCTTGACCACACTTGTCACAGATGACAATTTCATTGGGGGGTTCAGAGCTTTCATTCTGGCATATGGAGCAGAGCATTTCCCCTCCACTGTCCCCTAGAGAGAAAAAAAGACAGAAAGAATTGGACAACTGTTTGTGAATGGTGGAACGTTTTCAGGAGGTCAAAAGGTCTAAACTGGGTGTCCAGAGATAATTTTCCAGAATGTCTAATAGAAATTGTGTGAACAAAAGGAATCACAGTTGTCAGAGACGGTAAACAAACACCACAGTGAAATACTTCACTCGAACTGCCACCTCAATCAATTGAAGACAAAAATAAGAGCAGGTTTCTGTTACAAGTATGCATGAAAGGACTGTATGATATTTATTTTATTTCAGAGTTCATATCAACTGGTTGTTCGCCAAGTAAAAGTGGGTCACAGAAGCTGTTTGAGTTTGTCGCTGAGAGATACATGGCAATGATTTTATAAGATGCATGTGAAAGCTCGTGACACTTCTGTCACACATGACCCATGTTCATGAAACTCCACTTTCACCTAATAAACTTTACTGACCTGTCAGCTGTTATACCATCATTGCACTGTTCAACTGCACCAACATTTTACATCACTTCCCTATTAATAAAGAGCAAAAGGATTTAAAAAATAAATGTCAAGGCTCATTAGAGTCTGCAAATGTTATTGTATCATCAGAGTAGTTTGAGACTGCAATTTAATGTTTGTTCATCAGTATTAATATTATTTCCATTTATGTGTAGCTGTGTTAAGTGGGATGAAGTCTGTCTTTATTTTATAAATAATTCTGGCATTTTAGACAATATTGTGGGCCTCATTTATTTTTCCCAAATGAAAATACTTATAAAAGCGCAAGCAAGACATGGGAGTTTTACTGCAACACTGCAATGGTGTGGTCCAGTTTGCATCAAGTGAATATATGAATACACTAGCTAGTTTCCATCCACTTATTTTGGATTGTATCCAACCATCCACCTATTAGATACATGCATACATTTTAAAAAAATATGTTTTTATTTTATTTTATTTAAACGTGCATAAAAAGTGTATACGCATAACTTAGTGTGATAAACTTTAAGAAACTATGATGGAAACACTTTTGCTGAATAAATTCCAGTATGCAGGTTAAAAAAGGTCATGTAGTTTTGTTATAAGACGTGTCGTGTGTGAACAGACAAACCAGCAGACTGACCGCATTGTCAAGCATCTGAAATGTTGTTTTGGTCAATCTAAAACACCTTAAACATTTCAGTATTAGTGTTATTATATTATTAATTACCCCCAGAACCATCAAGAGTGCATGTGCTCCGCAATTCACAACTTCAAATGCCACCACACGTTCATTGCGTGTCGGCATTGTCCTCTGAGGTGCAGGTTATTTCTAAAATAAAGAAAACATTTGCGCAGCTTGTCCTACCACAGCAAATTACATTTTAACTGTTGATATTTGGTGCCAGTTTGACAGTTGGATGCAAATGTTGCTTTATTCACACGTCTTTTATGCGATATTCCAGTTTTGCTTATAAAGTTAATTGCATTTTTGGATAGAAACATAGCTAATGACCAATTCATGAAAATACTCTCTTCATTTATTAATAAATCAGTGGTTTTGAACAAATCAGCTGAATGATGAAGTAAATGAATCCCTCATTAAGGATTGGGACATATCAAGCTAATGGTTGGCCGTTGGGCTTCATCAGTCATCATTGGTCTGGTGTGTTCCACACATCGCCTCTCATTGGGTTACTGTCAGACTTGTTGGGCCTGATTCAGCCTCTCAAATCACCGTCAGAACGTTGGCTGAAGAGATCAATCTGACCATACCCGTCAAGCCTCCCTTTTTTCCCCAGAATTCTTTCGTATTTAACAATTCTATCCCGCTATCATTCTGTAAAGGTATTTACCCATGTTTTTAATCTTTCTATGAAGGGCGGCAATAAGCATCAAAGAGCAGATCCTCCTTATATGCAACCTATATCGCCGAACCATCAGGTGAAGCCCCTTGCTCTTAAATGTGAGCCTGTTCTGTGCTTTAATTTATTTAGGCATAAAAACACTTTGGAATAAATATAAAAATTGGGGGTTTCCTTCCTTACCATTACAGGTGCCGTTGCACCTCCTATACAATCCTCAAAACAGTCCATGTAGCATTATTTGACAGACGTGCTCCATATTGATAAATAGACGCTGTTTCCAGCATGACATTCTGGGTTTTACTGGGAGATTTTTGTTTTTACGGGTGGGTGACACCACCGGTGAAAATATTGATGTATTGATGACAAGAGGGTTGCTCTACAAATATATATTTTTATTATGGCAAGCAAAAAAAAAAAAAAAAAAACTATTGATGGTGGAAAAACATAATTTGGTAATTGTGTGCCTGGGTTTCCACTTTTGCTATGGCCTCTTTTGGCTTTAACAAACTTGTCCCTCAGGTTTTTCCAAATCTTTTAACAAAAACTTTCCTCCTGTCCAACTGCTGCTAAAATTTCTAGCCAACAATTATCGATCATCTGATTTTCCCTATGATCACAATTATTTTTAAAAAGTGATTCATATTCAACTTAAATCAAACATGGCGCACGCACTGTTCGCTCAAGTTTAAAAAAAAATTCAAGCCCTCTGCCAGCTAAAATCATGTCATGCACACTCAAAGCGAACCTCCGCAAACTCTGCGATGACGTCACATTCACTGCACTCACTCAAGCGAACTAGCGGACGCGTTGAGTATAAACTAGGCTTAAGCTTGGAGACTCTATCAACTGTCAGGGACGGATTAAGAGACAGCTCAGGCTGAGGGAAGGAGATAGGAACGAGAAACCAAACAGCAAAACCACAATTCTGACTGCATGAAAGCAGCAGCATAATAGAAGAGATTGGTCATCTTCGACTAAAACTCCTGAGGGAGGAAATATGGAATATGTGCTGTTCACCCAAAATTGAAAAACTTTCATCATTTTTCCACCATTGACTTGTTCAAGACCAGTTTTCGTTCTGTTGAGCACAAAATAATTTTTTTAAAGAATGTTGGAAATCTGTAGCCACTGACAGTGTCAGTTAAAAAAAAAAAAAAAAATACCACAGATGTCAGTGGTTACAGGTTTTCAACGTTCTTAATCATCGTTTGTGTTCAACAGAACAAAAACATTTTTTAAAACAACTGGAGAATCAGTAAATGATCACAGAATTTTCATTTTAGATTAACTTTTCCTTTAATTGCAAGACAATCTGTATTATAATTCCAAAGTAGATGGAAAAGTCCATAAACGAGATTCAAGACCTTCTCAGCTCAGAGCTGCCATCAAGGCACTAAATGTAAAAAAATTTAAATTTACCTGTTTGTATGTCCTTCCACAGAACCCAGGACTTAGACTGATCTTCAAAGATCACAAAGCAGCGATGCTTATGTTTATCTATCTGCAAAAAGCACAAAGTGACCATTACTCCAGGGAAAAGCTTTTCGGTGATTAAAAAAGATGTTTTCAGCAGCATTGGTTCAAAAACCATTTCATGGATTAAAGAGATCGCTCACCCAAAAGATCAAAACGCACTTAATATTTACTCACTCTCAAGTGGTTCCATAACTTTTACATTTCTTTATTCTGTTAAAAACTAAAGAAGATTTTATGAAGAAATCTGAAAACCATTGACTTCCATAGCAGTGACAGGAAGATTGGATGGTTTTACTGACTTAGACTTTTGAGTATCATTTAGCGAGATGAACAAATCTTGATTCATTTCACCCAAAAATAACTAAAATGTTATGAGTTGCTTCCCAAACACATCTTAAACTAGTGCAATTGTTGACCACACTACAAACAATCTTTTGTCTGACACTGACAGTAAGGCCCATATAACATTAAACGAAGCACAGAGTCTGAGCCAATAAGACCCATGGTTAGTTCACCTTTCGTGTTTTTGAATCAGTTGTTTATCATGCGACCGCACCATATCAGCTTGACCTACAAAGTCTGAACCACAGCTACATCATTTGAGTTTAGAGTTATCCGATGGGTTTACGGATAAAGTTAAAAAGTCCAACAAGCCCATTACCGCATTCAATATTATAAAAAAGAACCATCATGAGAGAAAATTAAACATTTATAATGGGGCTAAAGTTTGAGATCAGAAATACATCACAGAAAATGCACATAATAATAATAATAATATTATTAATGTATTTTGTTTCTAAATTAAGAATCATTTAATAATTTCTGTATCCAATTCCTTCTGTCAAGTCATGTAAAGAAACAAATGACTCAAATCAGTGGAGTCAACAGGTGAGTGGATCATATCTTTCATGTGATGAACGAATGACTCAAACCCAAAAGAATACTCTAAAAATTAAATAATTTTCTGCCCCACCCAGGTAATTTATGGATTTGCAAATGAATGAATCACTCCCTGAGTGGACTCCTTCTTGAGTCAGTTCTGAATTAACGAATCTTTCAAGACCGACCTATCGTTATTCCACAGTAGGAAAAACAAATGGTTACAGGTTTTCAGCTTACTTCGAAATGTCTTCATTTGTGCAAGACAGAAAAAAGTCAAACGGGTTTGAAACAAGTAAAGGGCAGGCAAATCATTAGTGAATTTACAGTTTTGGGTAAACTATCTCTTTAATTAAAAAAGGGAATTAAAAAAAAACAATAATTCCAAGAAGCATATAATAAAACAATGTTTCTAGGCAAATATTTATATTTGCAATTATTTTTATTACACAGTGAGGAGCATTACTCTCCTCACAGTTCAATCATTGAATACTAAAATGAATTAATAATAATATATATATAAAATAAATAATAGATTTTATTTTTCTTCAGCTTAGTCCCTTTATTTGCCAAGGGATGCCACAGCAGAATGAACCACCAACCATACACTCACATTTACACTATGGACAATTTAGCTTATAGCGCATATCTTTGGACAGTGGGAAAAAATGGAAGCTCATGGAGGAAACCCACGCCATCACAGAGAGAACATGCAAACTCCACACAGAAATACCAACTGACCCAGCAGGACCTCGAACCAGCGACTTTCTTGCTGTGAGGCGACAGTGCTAACCACTGAGCCACCTATATATTTTTATATTTATTTTTTAGTAATAATAACCAATTGCTTTCAGTTTCTTTCTTCTGATGAACACAAAAGACACTTTAAAGAATGTTGAAAACCAGCAGCCACTGATTTTTGTTTACAGCATTCTTCAAAACATCTTTTTTGTGTTCAACAACAACAACAACAAAAAAAACTTTCAAAGCTTCAGATCCAGATAAGGACGATTTAATATTGAGTACATTTTAATTTTTTTACCTTTAAAGGCAAAAACATTCAAGCGAGTTTAAATCATTAATGCACAAAAACAAACACTTTAACAAGGGTTGATAATTTATTTATTTTTTTAAAGTAAACACTGTCACTGCTGTTATTTTACAGTTGATTACACTGTTAAACTCCCCAGACCATACAAAAGCACTGTTGATTTGTATATTTGTTGTATTTTATTTATCTACACCTGTACTTTGTTTATAATATTCAATCCAGATGCACTCTATAAATTCACCCCGCTTGCACCAAAATAATGAATTTTTCCAAATAGAGCAATTCAAGTCAACTGGTAAAATAGTGTGCATTTTGCAGAAAAACAAAACATCGCAATGTCAGGTTTTTTGGTGCACAGACATTTTAAGTATTACTATTAAAGCTGGACGATATTGGGAAAAATCTGACATTGCGATACTTTATTTTTCCGCAATATATATTGTGATATGAAGAGAATTTCATCAAATGGCTTGAACAGCTCCATTTTGAATGAAATAATTAATTTAGATTGACTGTGATATTTTTGTAGTGAATTGAATCAAACAAATTGCAAGCATAAAAAAGCTTTGATGGATAAAAATAAAAGTGTAATAAGCTAAGGTTGCACAGTTTACTGGCACTGTGGTAGTATCACAATCCCATGGCTCCAAAATACTGACGGTGCCACTGTAGTTTGTAAAGGGTAGTATTGTCATTAATGGTCTATCTACAATACATAATGTTGCAAGTTTAAAAGTCACTAAAATGCTCACACGTTTGTGCAACAATAAACCATTTTATTTGAATAGTCTATGGAGCCCTTTATGGTTATAAAAACTGTGTAGATGGTAGCCTATTGCACGTTTTCTAACACTTCAGTTCAAACGCACATCAGAATCGGTTCATTTCCGTTCTTGATAATATGATTTAGTAGCTACAACAACAGTGACAATATCTTTAAAAGTTCACAAAAGTAAAATTTTGAATTATTTTGGATTATTACCTGACAAGGCAAAAAAATAAAGATAGATAAAAAACCCAAAATAGAAACATTGAAACAACTTGACCACTTCATAAAGCCTAATTTTGTTGGAAAATGCTCTTTTGTAACAAATTTAATTTGACATAATTTGTATAGTTATTTTAAATACACAAAATAAACAAAAAGAATGAATACATTTTTTATGAAGTGAGGTCCAAATAATACTTTTTGGCCTAAAGGGAGTTATTAATTAAATTCAAGTAGGCCTATTATAACATAAAATGTAGTATTTCTGAACTTTTTTTTATGATTCGAGTTATGAATTACAGTATCGCAATACGTTATGCTTCAGCTAGTATCGTATCGTAAGATTAATTAATGGTATCGCGACAACCCTATAATAAGCAGTGCTTTATGGTTTTCTGGAAAGTTGAACAGTAGTCAGATATTCAGGTACAGTGATTGAATAATCAAGTGTAATGTGAAATAACACAGTAAAGTCTTCATTGCTGATAAACTATAATCCCAGCTCAACATACTGCAATGTGACTGTTGTGAATCCACACATTGCGATGTCGATGCTGAAACGATACATTGTGCAGCCCTAATTACTATCCTATAGTAATATAGAAATGTATAGAACACAATCTAAAAATAATCTCAAACAAATGTGCAATAGCAATGTCAAGATAAAATTCTAATTATTACATAATTTTTGACACTTTAAACAATAAGCACAAAGGAAAGTGCATGTCTCACTCTGTTTTTATTAAACATGAGGTTTATTTGAAATATATTCCTTCAGTTCTATACAGTCCAGGGTTCAACGTTAATGATTATTTCTACTGGCCCAATTGGACCAGTGGTTCAGATTTTTACTTGCCCTGCCAAAGTTTTCACTGGCCCCACCAAAAAAAAAAAAAAAAAGTTATTTGCTATTTCTTAGCCACATATTTTAGATAATACGTCAAAAATAATGTCTGTGAATCCAGAATTAAAATATTTTAGAAATATTTAGCAGTATAATATTGCAGTATGGAAAATGTGCAGGTATTTTATCGTTTATTGTTTAATTATTATAAACAAAAGGTGACTGACTTAAAAGTAACGGCAAACTATGCAACACATCACTTCACTTTTTTCACCGTGTTGTACCCAAGTAAACGGATGTTTTCTTTTACCCTCATAATTTGATGTTGCCGTCATGTTGCCTTCTCTTTGCTGTACTGGTTTTTACCAGGTTATGGAAAAAAATAACGTGCTCCAACATCCAATCAGATAAGAGGAAACGAAAAGCAATATGGTTTACGACTTCACAGAGAAGGCAGCATTCAAAGACTTAAAAGCACAAATAAAAAGCAACTTAAAAGCTCGATTCTAAGACTGTATTTGCACGCAATTGACAAAAGTAGCAGGCAAATTGAAATTTAGTGACCCGTTTGGGCCAGTAACGAGTCTGTCTACTGTCTTGAGCATCTCTCACACTGGCCCCGGGCCATCAAGCAGTACTTATTGTTGAGCCCTGCAGTCTCTGTATAAAAGTGCAACCCACAACTTAAAATGTATATCAAGACAAATTAATAATTCAACTTGCCATTTAATGTCCCAACATTCTAACATTTACACAGATTGCACAGAACCTCTTACACACCTTGGAGATGGTTCCCAGGTAAAAGAGGCCATCTGACCACCGGGCCAGGACGTCCTGCCCTTCCTCAAACTTGCCAGCAAGCTTTGTCGTGTCGGTCAGCCCATCTTTCAAGGGAAATCGGGGCAAGGACACAGGGGACTTGTGTTGGCGATTTGGAGTATTTTGATGGGCGGCCAGGTTATCTGCACTTGCTGAGTCTCTGTCAAATGGGCACAACAGTTGTTACACAGTCAGACACACATACCAAAAAAAGTAATTTATACATGCTCAAATAAACAACAACAAGGCAAAACACATCCCTAAAGCAAGTATTAAGTTACAGGTGTAAAATGAGGGCAGGGCTAGTACATCTGGCACTTGAATAGACTGGTCAGTGAAGCGCCCATAAAGAAGTGAAGCAAAAAAGCCTCTTTTGTTAGCAGCATAGCTGGAGAGAGCTAACTGGGTTTCTCACTCAAAACAGCGTACCATTAGATAAAACCTTCCAGTTCAAAAGCCCGACGAGTTTGTTTTAGTGAAATCTGAAAATGTACGTCTGAACGTAGCAATTTTTCCTGCTGTTAAGATAAGGATGAAAAACCCCCGCACACCCCCTTGTTGTATTGTAACAGGCTGGTTGCTGTCTGGGTCTCTCTTACCTCATTCGGTCACTTTCCCGGGTTACAATGCCTCACAAACACAAAGAACTACAACATAAACGGGCAGCCGGAGCTTCGCTGTGAATCGAGGTGGTGCTGCTGCTTTTAGGAGATGATTCAAACGCCTGAAGTGTTTCAGACTGTAGTAAACGGGTGCTTTTGATCGCTCGCTCTCGCCATTTTGGTTTCCCGCTGAGCGGCGAGTGCATTATGGGACGCGCTCGCGCTCCGCACGGACTCACTTTCCCTCACAAATTTGAAAAAGCGTTAGTGGGAGGATGTTTACCTCACTCACACCGTCACTTTACTCTGCGCTTCTTTGTCACGAAACACTTCCGCAGCACTGCTCTGGCTTTACATCCACATCAAACTATTGTTTTTTTCTCAGTGACAAAAAGCGTGTCAGCGGTTACAAAAGGAAGTAATGTTTTAAAAATTAATTTGAAACACATGTGGCAAGACCTTCATTTTCAATCTTGCTGGATTCATGTGACAGTGGAGGGGGAAATGTATTAAACATTGTACCAAAAATGTTATTTATTTTTACTTAACCATCAAGTTTAACACATTAAATGTGTAAAAAATAATAATATTATGAAATGTATAACCTTAATAAACATAGTTTCAATGCTTATATATGCTGAAGGCAAATTTACTCTCCAGTGTTTTCCAAGTGCTGTTTAAAAGATGGAGAATTTAAATAAATTTTTAAACATAATAGTTCTTATAACTTTTTCTTTGTTTTTCCTTTGCGATGATGACAGTACATGATTTAAAATAACGTTATAGTTTTATAATATTGCTTTAATTGTTTTGCCAGATTTACAGTGCTCAGCATATATAAGTACACCCCTCACAAATCAATCTTTTTAAATTAATTTTTTTAATAGGAAGCTACACAATCTTATATTTGTGCATATATATTGGATAAGTCAGTGCTGAAGCCAAATCTGGAGCTTATCTAACAAAATAACTTATGATAACAGTCCAAAAACTAGTACACTCAAATTCATGTTTATAGAAAAATATTATATACAAGTTTAAAGAAGAGGAAAAATCAAGAGAAGCAAAAAAATTGAAAAATTTTGTTGAAATTTGGTGACTAAAATATTATTTTAATATGACTGTTTAATAAATCTGTTTTGTTTGCACCAAATTAACAGCCATATTCACTGAGAAATGAATAAAATATTCATTTTTAATCGGGTGTACTCGATTATGCTGAGCACTGTATATTAACTGTAGCCATTTGAAGAAAAAAATCCTAAACTGGTTATAAAATTGACCTTAAAAATTATTTTTAAAAAATTTTTTTGAATATTTTTTTATCATAATTTTTGCAGACAGAAAAACAAATTACAGACAGACACACCCAACCATGTAAAATAAAGCAATTAATTGAACTACAAAAAGACAGCAATGGATGTAGAGAAAAAAAAAAGAAACTTGCAAATCTTCAGAAATTAAACGACACTCTTAGTCTTTATGGTGTTGCATTAAAAGAAAGACCGGATCCCACATTTTATCAAATTTCGCAGAGTTCCCAGAGGTGGTATATCTTATTATTTCCAAATGTAAAGTGGAGGTGAGTCCGAGAAGCCAATCTAAAAAAATAGGCCTAACATTTTTTTTTCCATAAACAAAGGATAACTTTTTTTAGCTATGATCATGCCATACTGAACAGTTAACCGTACATTTCCGTTGAGAGTCTCAAGAAAATCTGACCAGCCAAAAATTGTTATCATTGGGTCAGGGAGTAAAACACAATCGTAAACCTTATAGCAAAAAACTGAAATATTTCTAACCAAAAATTTTTCATTTGATCACAAAACCAAAAAAGATGTGCAAAGGTACCCTCAGCAGCTTTACACTTGTCACATCTGTGGGAAACCGAGGGACAGAATTTATTAAGCTTTGTTTTAATATAGTGAAGTCTGTGTAATACTTTCTACTGATTAAGATGGTGTCTAGAATTTATGGAACATGAATAAACAGATAATAGGCATTGATCCCAATCAGTCTCAGATATTGAAATCCCTAAGTCTTCTTCCCAAGCGACTTTCAAATGAAGAGAAGAAAAATCTGTTTTGTTTTTAAAAGCCTTAACAATATTTTTAAAAGTTTAAACTGTTTTTACTGCAGCCAAAGCAAAAAAAAAAAAAAAAGATTTCTCCAGAAGAAAAAAAACATATTATGAAATAATGTGTGCAAATGTCTTGCTCTGTTAAACATCATAGGAACTATTTGAAAAAGAAGATATATTTCACAGGATGTCTAATAATTTTGTCCTCAACCGTATGTTGATTGAATTCAGGGCTGAAAGATATATAGTTTGAGCATTGATATCGCAATGTGTGCATCTACAATAATCGTAGGATTAGGTTAACATAGTATTATCTTGTAATTATTTATACAATGATGACCATGTTATTTTACAAATTATATTAATATCACAATATATATCGATGTAAAACAAAATATCGCAATGACACATTTTTCCAATATCGTGCAGCCCTAATTGAATTCATCATTTACATTGATCCACTGATACTACACTCTCAAAAAAAGGTACACAGTGGTACAAATGATGTTCCTGTAACAGTTTTGTACTTTTGTAAAAGTTGTACCTTATAGAAAAGGCCTCTTATGATATTGTTCTGTACCTTTTATGGTACAATTGAAATTAAGATACACAATTGTTCTCATAAAAAGGTACATGAGTGTTGGACAACTCCTTTATTACATTATCTATGGAAATAAATATGACTGGAAAGGCAAAGTGATTTTATGAATCATTTCCATATTAAAACATAACTCATCATTTAAAAGCATATGTTTAAAGAAACTCATAAATGTTAATTATTAAGTTCTAATACAAAACAACTGGTAAAACAAAACTATAGGTATTATGTAAACTATATAATATCCGGGACCAGGCTGTATCCTGAGCTGCTGCTGCTGCTGCGCTGTTGGTCATGGGGGAGTGGAGAGCATGAGACTGATTCCAGTGACTCTCCATGGACAGACGAGTCTTCGCTGAGGCCAGCTTCCAGCCTCCACTGCTGAGACTGCAGCTCTGCACAAGACTTTTGGCCAGCGGAGAAATTAAAATGGTCGTGCCGAACTGAGTCTGGTTCTCTCAAGGTTTTTTTTCTTCACTCTCCTATTGGTGAAGTTTTTTTTTCCCTCTCCGCTGTCGCCACTGGCTTGCATGGTTCAGGATCTGAAAAGCTACTCATCGATGAATTTGCTCTTCAGTGTTTGGACTCTCAATAATCACTTCAAACCACACTGAACTGAGCTAAACTGAACTGAACTTAAACACTAAAAACTGAACTACCCTGATCCAGTTACTATGACCATTTATGTGAAGCCGCTTTGACACAATCTACATTGTAAAAGCGCTATACAAATAAAGCTGAATTGAATTGAATTGAATATAAACTAAACATTTAAGGCATTTTTAATAAACATTTGGTAAGCATTTTCTGATAAATACATTTTCATATTGATATCCGCACACCTTTTGCCGTTTGTTTTCCATTACACACATGAGCTGGCCTGGAAATTACATGAACTTTTAAGTGGTTACAAAAGTATTGTGTGAAAATTGGAGAAAAAAAGTTTTATATTGTACATGGGAGAATGCATTTCTGTAACATTTTTAGCTGTGAAATGTTTATCGAAAATAGATCTTTTAAGTTAAAGTATTAGTCATTCTTTAATGTAAATGAAAAAGGTGCATTTACACACACAAAAAAATTACTTTTAAAAAACCTTGTTTAAAAATGTATTGGATGTTTTATATTTACTGAAAAAAAAATGTATGCATTTTGGATAAAGCGAAATGCCTTCAAGTAGTTATTGAAGGAACACATTTGACACTGCAAGGAACAAAGTGTCTTGTTACTGTGCTGGTACATTCATGGATCAGATTTGTACCTTTGATGAAGATACAATATTGTATCTGCAGGTTTTAAAAAACCAAAGGTACATTTTGGTTTCCCATGGTACAAATCATGTCTTTAAAGGTACAAACTGCAATGGTGCAAATTTGTTTCTTTGTCTTCAGGTACATTTCTGTTCCATAAAAACTGCCCCAGAGACAAGAGTTTGTACCTTCTTTGGTACAACATTGTACTATTTTTTTCTGAAAGTGTAGAGAACATAGCATTTATAGATCACATGTATTGTCATTGCACACTGTAAAAATGTAATGACAAAAATTCAAGACAACAAATATGTTGATTTAACTTATTTTAATAACTGAATCAGGTTTTAACAAATTTTTACATTTTTATAAACATTTTTAAACGTAATATTTCTGATGTAAGTTAAGATGAGCAGAAAAGTTCATTTGATCTGACTAAAAATGTAAGATTTTTTTATTTTTATTTTTTTTACAGTGTAGATCAGTGCATTGACCTAAACAACCATATTTATGTCTTTGTAAATAAAAAAAATTAATTTGTAGTAAAAACCTAATGTGAACCTGGTGTGATCGAAGATGTCCTATTAGTTTCTTAATTAATAATACATTTTAAAAATCTAAATTGCTTTAATAATACTGAAATTAATATTTTGCCAATTTAAAAATGTCTTTTTACATAACATGTTGTTTTTATCATTATTAATTTATTACCTTAATATTACTTAATGATTTTAATGATGACCATTATCAATGGCCTACCTTCATGTTTTCTTTTTTAATCATTGAACGCTGATATTATAGAACACGCACACCACTGATACATAACAGTTGATTAGTACTGGACAGGTGTCATGGACTACAATTGCTGGATTTATTTTTGAATACAAATATTTTACACCCATATGGCTGTTAAAATAACATATGGTTATAATGAAATGAATAAATGTGTTTGCTATACAGCTTGTGCCACATTAATGTGTTATTCATACAGCTTTTATGAGCAGCCTGTGGGTCTCCCTGGTGTACAGAGCAAACCCTACTGGGACAGAATGTGTTGACACACAGAAACATACTTAACCCTTCCTTTGCTCCTTAATATCTCTCCAGTAATTTATATACAGCCATTATGGTTATGTAGACCAAGGGCAAAAACATGATGCTTTTTTTCTTAATACGGCATACATACATTAATTTCAAAATCTCTTTATGGTAAAAAAATGTATCAAGTTATATATTATTTTATTTATAGTCTTTGTTATTTCTTCATAGCGCAAATTGTATTTTCCATCTGTCTGCATATTTAACAACAAAAATGCAACAAAGCTTATTTAAAAGCTATGTATATATTGCTATGTATAATACAATGCATTTCATACGGCCAATAAGATCTTTTTAAAACATGTAAGTGAAACAGATGATGATATTTCTGCTAATTTGCATTGGTGAAGGCTGTGTCTTCAGTCATGAGTCTGCTTGAAATGAAATTGCAAACGAGATTTAAATAAAAATGTTGAGACTTTTAAAATTATATGTTTCATATAGCACTATATGATGTTGTGAAAATGCCGTAGCAAGCTTTTTAAAGCAGAATTATAAGCACCTCTCGGGTGGCCTCACCAATGAGGCCAAGTCTGGCATGCCAGGAATACAAATGCTGCATTGTACTAGCTGTCATGCTACCATGCCTTTGATGAAACTTATCAAAATAATCAACAAACTGGTCAGTTTTAAAGAATGTCTGAGAAATGCAGATAAACAATTATTGTATTTGATGTGCTTTTAATGTGATTTATTATTTTCAATTTTATGGTTATGTCAAATTGTTTCCATTTAAAAATAAATAAATATCTAAAATAAAACTAAATAAATTAATGACTGAATGAATATATAGACATATACAGTTGAAGTCAGAATTATTACCCCCCCTTTAAATGTTTTTTTCTATTTTAAATATTTCCCAAATGATGTTTTACAGAGCAGGGAAATTTTTACAGTATGTCTGATAATATTTTGTCTTCTAGAGAAAGTCTTATTTGTTTTATTTCGGCTAGAATAATACTATGTTATGGTCCAAATTATTAGCCCCTTTAAATCTATTTTTTTTTTTGATAGTCTACAGAACAAACCATCATTATACAATAACTTGCCTAATTACCCTGACCTGCCAAATTAACGTTAAGCCTTTAAATGTCACTTTAAACTGTATAGAAGTGTCTTGATAAATATCTAGTCAAATATTATTTACTGTCATCCTGACAAAGTTAAAATAAATCAGTTATTAGAAATGAGTTATTAAAAGTATTATGTTTAGAAATGTGTTAAAATATTTTCTTTCTGTGGGGAAAAAATAAACGGGGGCTAATAATAATAACTTCAACTGTATGTAATTTTTTTATCATTACCATTTTTTATTCTGTATTGTTTTGTTCTTATTACAAAACAATTAAAATCTATGGTAAAATTGAAAAGCAAATTATTTATTTAAATATTTATAGTAAACTTATTCCTTGATTTTACTTAAGACTTCTTTGTTCTTTTATCGTGAGAAAGATTCGAGAGGTCTTTGAAGAAAGCTGGCTCATGTCACAATATGCACATCTGCATTATATAGTCCTTTAAACATTAAAGATAAATAAATTAGTTTTTGTTTTTGCATTCGGTGCAATAAATTTGTTTTACATTTAGATAGAAAGTATAATAAATGCAACTAAAGTGCCTATACTTAAATGTTTCAAATAGTGAAACTTTTTTGAAAATGAAATATATGGGTGAAATAATGTGAAACAAAATAATGTTTATCACCTGTGATGAATTTGGATTTCTGCTTTCCAAGCCATCCCAGCATGGATCAACATTTTTTATATTTCTGATTACTTTATTAATATGATTGTTTGAATTCATTGAATGAATAAAGTGAACGCATTGCTTAAAATAAGAATGTTCAGTAAATTTGCCTGTCTCTTTGTACCTCTATCTTCAGGAGCCACCAAATTAGGTCAGAGGTCATGGAGACCTCAAGTGGAAATGAAGAGCTTGATGATTGAAAACAACTGTACAACTCCTATTTGTATTTTTTTAGCCAGTCAATACAATACAAATTAGCAATTACAAATATATTTGCAATTGCTAATTTGTATTGTATTTACTGGCTAAAGTGATTTTCATTCATTTATTCATTTTCTTGTCGGCTTAGTCCCTTTATTAATCCAGGGTCGCCACAGCGGAATGAACTGGCTACTTATCCAGCTACTTGCTGTGTGGCATCAGCAATACTGTGCCACTGCGTTGCCTAAAATGATTTTGATATTATTATTATGTGTTAATTCTGTTTGAAGTGATTTTATTTTTTATTCAAGACAGACTTGGGTATGTAATGTAGATTACACCGGTTTTTAACCAGTTTTGATAAAGAAGGCTGAGAGTACACTCAGCCTTGGGTAAGAAACAGATTGTACTTTAAGTGTGTGTGTGTGTTCTATTTGATTGTGGATCCTTTTCACAGATCTGGGATATAATGAGATATTGTTCAGAATTGTATGCACGCACCCACGTGAAAATTTTCCTAGTCTATCTGTGTTTTAACCAATAGGTTAAACACCTATATCACTCTAAAAAACGTTGAGTTATTTCTTCAACCCAATGGTTGAGGTAAACCTATTTGGTGCGTTGTTGAGTTATTTTTTAACCTATATTAGGTTATTTTATAATAACTCAATCATTTGGGTTAAATATTTGATACTTTGTTGGGTTACTTTTAACCTTTATTTGGTTATTTAGTTTATAACTCAACCAGTTGGGTTGTAATTTTGTATTTCAATAGTCAACTGATTTAACTGACACAGAACAGCTGCATTAATATGCGTACGTAATGTTGTTTTTGCCTTTTAAAGTTTATTTAAGCTCTAACGTAATAATATTGGGGTTATTTTTTTAATCAAATTGCCTCTCGTGTTTTTTCTTTTCCTATCACCAGCACTCTTAAATATTGATGATACAAATGCGTGCTTCATGGCCGATAAAACGCTTTCTCTATACCTCCCATGTTCATGTCTACAGTTTTTTGGGAGAAAATGATACACATATTTGGGATATTCGGCTGTCATTCTCACCTTTAGGACCCAGCGAAGACATTCATTTATTTACACAGCCATAATTCTAATAATAGTAGTACTTCAATTGTAATACCAGAATGGAAAAAAGAACATTTAATAAAAATAACCCAATGCATTAGGTTAAATTATATAACCCAATGCATTAGGTAAAAAATAACCCATAGTTGGGAAGGTGCTATAATAACCTATAGACATTGTGAGAGTATAAATGATGTTGATGTGTAATTGTGCAGAGCGACCAAGGAACTCATTGCAAGTGTTGAAGCTAGATTCTGCTGATGAAACTGCAAACTATCTTCAGTAAACTTTATTTATTGGAATCGCTAACTCTAGCTCTTCTTCACCTAAGAGACTGGTCATTCTTTGGGTTAAAACTGTAAATAATCCCTACCCCTGTAGCTACTTATTTAAAAAATATATACTTAATTTTATAATACTTCAAACTATTAAAAATGTCTCGTTGACAAATGGTTGAAAACAAGTGGTTTGAGGGTCGGCAATATATAAAGATTTAGAATGACTATGGGGTTTCACCATTTCAAACCTTTATTATAAAATCAAATGACTCTTGTTCTAAATATGCCTGACTAGATTATTTGATATGTAAAATAGGGCTGCACAAAATATAATTTAAGCATCAATGTCGCATTGTGATCATTCACAATAATCACATCGCAGGATATATGCAATGATAAGTTTGTTATATAATTTCTAATTTTCATGTGTTTTTGATGCCTGTGATTGTAAAATGATTTTAAACGCATTTAGTTATAAAATATTTTACCATTTGTGACCTTAACTATGATACATTTTATTGAATTATTTTTATTTTTATCATTTAGTTACTGTACTTGAATACTGTTAGACTCAGTAAACGATAAAACACTCTTTTAGTTGTATCATTTTCTTGATTGTGTTTACAGATAGTTATGTCGTGAAAGTACCCACAACACATGCAAATACAGAAATGCACTGCATAGCACAAACGAAAATGTGTCTGGGCACCCTAATAGGTTTAAAGATTGTTTATTAGATTTTATGGAGATGATCATCCCAACTGATTGAACATTATATATTCTTTCCAAATAATTATTAATTCATCTGGTGAAATTGTATTCATTTCACAATACATTTTGCAAAACAAAGAAATATTGCAATGTTCAATTTTTCCAATATCGTGCAGCCCTAGTATAAACTATAGCCTGTTCCTGTAGAGAAAAACATTTTAGTGGATGTCTTCAATAAATGTTGATGATGTATAAATAATAGTCTTGCTAAAATTTAAAGTTGTATTACCCTAAGATAGAGATCTTACATTAGCAATAACTTTTAGACTAAAAAAATAACAATATGGCCACAAAACCAATCTAATATAAAGGTATAGTCTTATATTTTTTGCCAATATTTATAGTAAAGATCCTGTTCCATTAAGATATTTTGTGATCATCTTACTGTGAACATATCAAAACTCAATATTTGGTTAGTAATGTGCATTTCTAAGCACTTACATTAAACAATTTGCTCAGAATTTTGCATTGCTGAATCCAATTTTCAGAAATTGTCCAAATCAGCTTTCAGGTTATTCATAAAGCTCATGGCTGTTTGTATGGCCCATACTCACGCTGACATATACAAACGGCAAACAGACATATTAACTGCACATGCGTATGTACAGTAGCGTTTAGATTTTATCATTAACAATAAGGTGTTTGTATGTGCAAATCATACCTCACAATATGAATTATGTACATCTGGTGTTCAACAGAGGGCGCCAGTAAACATGACGCACAGGTCTCCCAGGGAAAAAAAGCACTCCTTTAGGCAGAAATAGTGTACGCCTGCGCTCTTGACACGCCGCTGTCTCGCTGCTTTTAAACAGCTGCTCTTGAAAGTGTTAGCCGCTGGATGTCAACCAAGGCGACTCGAATGACATGAATTTCTGAAATAACATGCACATTTCCACGGTGGCCGTCGGGAAGTCGGATATCTGTGAGAGGATCTCGGCTTGTCCGCGTCATGTGTAGCGCGAGCCCAATGACTTGAAGTTCGCCGGGCATTATTTCATTTCATTCGGTATATGGAGACTCTGCTCTGGATCGCGCACAGGCTTTGAGATGATCCATTTCTGCGATGGCGAGGGGTCTGTTTTCACGGGCCTGGCTGTCAAAGACGCACCATTTTCAGGTAACAATCTGGCAAATTAATCTGCATTTCATGACGTTTGGATACCATCAATATATCAACGTATTATATTAACAGCGAGGATACATTTTAGCATCGGCGTTGGCTGACCTTTAATTTCCGCGATAATTATGTAATATATACAGAATTTAAATGTATTTAACGTGTTTAAATCATGTAACAGCTGCTTTGTTGATTGGTGAGCGTTGTCACAGTAACTCGCGACACGACAGCAGTTTTAAAACGTGTTTTTGACGTCATAAACATTTGGTCAGGGAATTTTTCGTTCTTATTTATGGAAATAGTTCCTACGTTTACCCTTGAGAGGAATGGGCTGCCTTGGGCTGCCCTGCTGTGAGATTAATCCCCTTCACTGGATGAAGTTGAACTGTGGTTTCATGGCAGCCTGCACAACTCCACAACAGGACTAAGAAGCTTAAACAGGAGCCAGGCTTATATGCAGGCTTATATGGTTTATATGTACACTAGAGGTGTGTAGCCTATTTCTATTTAAACAGACACTTCTTGAAGAAAAAAAAAACGCATATTTTATATAGACCACATCAATGTGGTCATGTCACGTTTCCTGCTTGTTGTTATGATTGATGCAATTCAATCATAACTTAACATTAAACAGCTATAAGTTCATAACATTATTTATCAATATGCAGACCTTCTTAGATTCCTAGAAGCTAAGGAAATTATATTATATATAATTATGTGCAATAGGAAATACGTTAGGACCATGGTTATTGTTTACATCCCTCAAAAGGTCTGTAAAATATTAATTCCTTGAATGATGTGTTAATGTGGTCATGTCATTGGCCCATGAACATTTGCTGCTTGTTGTCAAACTGTTTCATAACTATATCAAGATACAATTCAATCAAAACTTAACATTAAATAGCTATAATTTCATAATTTTATTTTTCAATATGCAGACCTTTATGGATTCTCGGAAGCCATGGAAATATAAATGTTCAACAAGGAAATGCGTTAGGATCATGATTATTGTTTTCATTCCTTAAATTGATCTATAAAATATTAATTCCTTGAATGATATTTCAAGGCAATTAGGCGTGAGTAGTTATGAAAAGAAGTTTATGCAGAGTCACATTTAGAACATTCGCTTACAACTTGCAAATAAGGATGTCATTATTTGTTTAGCATTTTTTTGTGTTTGATATTTTAAATAAATGAATTAAAGCCAAATTAAATGAATCATGCTTAATAGGACTTAATGATATTGGAAAAATCTCACATTGCGATTTTTGGTTTTCAGCTATATACAGTTGAAGTCAGAATTATTGGGCCCCCTGAATTATTAGCTCCCCTGTTTATTTTTTTTCCCCAATTTCTGTTTAATGGAGAGAATATTTTTTCAAACACATTTCTAAACATAATAGTTTTAATAACTCATTTCTGATTACTGATTAATTTTATATTTGCCATGATGACAGTAAATAATATTTTACTAGATATTTTTTAAGACACTTCTATACAGCTTAAAGTGACATTTAAAGGCTTAAGTAGGTTAATTAGGTTAACTAGGAAGGCAAGTTGTTGTATAATGATGGAAAAAAAATTAGCTTAAAGGGGTTAATAATTTTGTCCTTAAAATGGTGTTTAAAAAATTAAAAACTGCTTTTATTCTAGCCAAAATAAAACAAATATGACTTTCTCCAGAAAAAAAAAAATATTATCAGACATAATGTGAAAATTTTCTTGCTCTGTTAAACGTCATTCGGGAAATATTTAAAAAAGAAGAAGAAAAAAAAAAACTCAAGGGGGGCTAATAATTCTGACTTCAACTGTATATTGCAATATGAATACAATGCCCCCAAATGGCTTAAATAGCTCTATTTGGAGAGAAAATAAATTAATATAGATTGATTAGGGTGATTTTGTAAGGGTGTGAATCATGTATAAAATAATAAACATATTCCACGTAAGAGTAATAACAATAGAAAAAAGAAAAAAGTCAAATAAACAGTGCTTTATGGTTTAAGTAGAGTCAAACAGTATTCAGGTACAACAATTGAATAATAAAGAATAAAACAACACTGTATAGTCATTAAAATGTACAACATTTGTAACTTTTTTGTCATTAAATTCTTTAAAATGTCTGTAAAACAAATGCAAATGACAAAGATTCGCTCTGTTATGGTTATACTTTGCAGTGACTCCACAAATCTCATGTATTCTCAATTGTTGTGGTGATAAACTATAATCCTTCAACATTGCATATCCTGTGATGTGACTTGTGGACACACATTGCGATATCTATGCTGAAACGATATATTGTAAAACCCTACTGCTTATTTCAACTCTTCAGTCTGTGATTTAGGTGCATATTAATTCCTTTTCATTAAAAACACAACCTTCAGTTTGTCCTCTTCTATTTGTTTCCTCTTAATGCAGTTTAATAAAAATGAAAGCATACAGTATTTACTCATCCTTAGGTCATACAAGATTCAGGTGACACTTTTTTCTGAACATTAAAGAACATTTCTAGCTGAAACCGTGGTTGAGTCAAAAAAAAGAAAAAAAAAGAAGTTAAAAGCTACTGGCATTTTTGAGAGTCAAGAAAACAAAACAAAGGAAAAACAAAATAATACCAGTGGCTCCTGATTGATGTATGAAGTGAATTATGTACACTACCTGACAAATGTTTTATTGTCAATCCCAGTTGTAACGACAACAAATAATAACTGACTTCAAATAATAAATGACTTCTAGTTAATCATTTGGATAAGTGGAAGAAGGTAGAGTTTTCTGATGAATCATCTGTTGAACTGCATTCTAAATCATCACAAATACTGCAGAAGACCTAATGGGACCCGCATGGCCCAAGATTCTCACAGAAATCAGTCAAGTTTGGTGAAGGAAAAGTCATGATTTGGGGTTACATTCAGTATTGGGGCGTTTAAGAGATTTGTGGAGTGGATGGCAACATGCCTGAGGTATCAAGACATTTGTGCTGCCCATTACATTACAAACCACAGGAGAGGGCAAATTCATCAGCAGGATAGCACTCAATCTCAAATTTCAGCCTCAACATCAAAGTTCTTAAAAGCAAAGAAGGTCAAGGTACTCCAGGATTAGCCAGCCTAGTCACCAGACATGAACATTATTGAGCTTGTCTGGGGTAAGATGAAGGAGGTGGCATTGAAGATGAATCCAAAGAATCTTGATGAACTCTGGGAGTCCTGCAAGAACACTTTCTTTGTCATCCCAGATGACTTTATTAATAAGTTATTTGATTCATTGCAGAGATCTATTGATGCATTCCTCCAAGCTAATAAGAGTCATATACACAATATTCATTCTTTTTCCACTGCACAATGCCTTTATATTCTATACTGTACATTATCTCTGTTAAGTCACAAGACTTTTATCTAAGCAATGCCAGACCTTACTGTCCTAATTAAATAATTAAAAATCAAGGCTTGATCATATTTTATTTCGGTAAAATAAGCATAATCTAGAGGCCTTTGCCTTTCATACAAGACACTTCTGATACCAGATGATCAATTAGAAGTCAAGCCATCGTTTGTTGATTCGTAAAACTTAAATAGGCGTCAAGACCTTTGTCAGGTAGTGTATGTCATGTACTATCATTGCTGACTGTTGAGAAGTAAACACTCACAGAACTGATTGCAAAGAATAAAGGTAATAATCTAACTTGTGCACAATGTTTAGCTTCTTGCACTGCCCAACTGCTTTCTTCATTAGACCCCAGTGTAACATCAGGAACATTGTGTATTCATTGTACTTTGCCATTATATGAAGTTGTTTTATTTTTAGACTCTCAATAAGTTGATAAACGGTTACTTGCATAACCCATGGCCATAACTACAGCCATAATTACTACTGCCATAACTACTGCCATAATTTCTTGTTGATCTCGGATGGTCTAAGCATGCATAAATTAGCAGTATTATGTGGACTCTCCCTTTAATTTCTTTTTTAGGCAGACTCTAGCTAATTTTTTTCAGAACAAGAAGTTCAGAACAAAAAACGTTTTCATCTTTACAGTATATAATTATAATCTACTTCAAGCAAGTGATGAATTAGTCAGATTAGTTCTGATATTAGTTCTATAGTTAAATATAGAGAAATGTGAATTGATTGATATAACTAAAATAATATTAAATTAAATGAAAGTAATAATAATATAACTGTAAACAAAAGCAGAAGAATATATATATATATATATATATATATATATATATTGCAATAATAATAATAATGATTAATACATGAAAACATAGCAAAAACTACGAAACTTTAGTCTGCCACTCTAAGAATTAAAACTACAGAAGGGCACAATATTGTATTCATGGTGTGTTCTTGCAGGTTGTGTAATTACTGGCATAATTATTCAGACAGTCATTTCAATTAAAGTCTTGCCATTTGGCTAAGACTGAAAATTTCAAAGGAAAGTTTTAAAAAAATAACATTGTTGTCAACACTGATGATGAGTTATAGCTCAACTTATAGCTCACTGTAAGCGTTTCAAGTTTGAGTCCTGACTCATAGACCTTTCTCAATTCCATACCTCTCTCTTTCCAACATTTGTATTGAATTTATTTTTGTTTTTCCAAAAGTTTTGTATTGATTTTAGGAGATTTTAACATGTACTACAGAAATCAAAACCAAACATTCATTCATTCAATTTCTTTTTGGCTTAGTTCCTTTATTGACCCAGCAGGGGCTCGAACCAGCAACCTTCTTGCTGTGAGGTGCTACCAACTGTGCAAGCGTGACATCCGAAAACCAAACATACAAATACTAATAATAATGCTAATAATAAATTTAAAAAGTGGAAAAAAAAAAAAAAAATATATATATATATATATATATAAATAAATATAAATAAATATAAATATATATATATATATATATATATATATATATATATATATATATATATATATATATATATATATATATATATATATATATATAATTTATATTAAATGCATGTATATACACATACA